AACCGAGCTCTTGTGCATAGGGAGGGGAGGGGCTTGAGGGAAGTGAGGAATGGGCTGAAATTTGTTCAAAAAGTCTTCTGGTACAACTGCGTTTCTCTTGGTACTGGGGATCGAACTGAGGTCCTGGTGCTTGAGAGACAGGCCCTGGCACCACTGAGCTCAGTCTCCAGTTTCTGGTGGAATCTTTAGGGTCTCTACGTGTAGGAGCATAATGTGCACACAAGCGTAACTTCACTTCTTTCCTCTTTGCGTCCCTTCTGCTCCTTCCTTTACCCAGTTGCTCTAGGTAAACTGTCAAGTATTGTATCGGCTAGGAATGCTGGGAGTTCTTCAGTTACTTTTACTCATCCTGCTCTTCTGCGGCTCTCGTATGTATGTTTAATGTACTACAGGCCTCCAAGTCTCTGTGTATTTATCTCCCATCTTTATTATCTTGTTTTCATATTTGATACTTTTGTTAATCTAACTTCAAGTTCCTGACTCTTCTACCATCTCAGTTTTGCTATTTATTTCATCTCAATTATTTTCCTTTTTGACTGCAGAAAATTCTTTGGCTCTTTCTTAAGGCTGCTATTTTAAGAGGTTACTATTCTCTGTTGAGTCATTGTCGTAATGTTTTTTCTTTAATTCCTTAAACATTTTCTCTGTAATTTTAAAAATACATAGAATAGCTGTGCTGTAGTCTGTGTGTGTGCGTGTGGTAAGAACACATAGTAGGTAGGAAGATGTACTCTTAACAAAATTGTAAGTGCAGTGTAGCGTTGTTACCTGTGGCACAAGTGGTACAGATCTCTAGAAGGTACTTGCGTAACTGAGACTGTATTTGTTGGACGGTAGCTCTCCGTTCCCTCCTTTCCTGAATCCCTGCCGCTCATCGCTCTACTCACTAAATCTAGGAGTTACAGTATCTTCGATCTCTTTCAAGTGGTGTCATAAAGTATTTGCCGTTCTGTGGATTGCAGTTTTTACTGGGTTCCCTATCTAAGCACACATGTAATTTCTTTTGACAGCTCTGTTTTTTAATGTGTCACATTTTCCCATTTCTTTACACATTTCATACGTTTGTTGAAAACTGATGGTTTTATGTAACATTGTAGCAACTCTGGGTTTGCTATTTTTCCTGTTGTTACTAATTCGCCAGTGCTTGGATTTAATCTGCGAAATTGTACTTCCGTAGTATGTACCTGCTAGCTCCTGGCTCAGTTGTTTGTATTCCTCCTTTGTAGCTGGGCTTTTTAAGAGGCCGCCTTGCACCTGTGGAGTTTAGTGATCATCCGCTTGGGAGTCATGTCTGCAGTGTCGGCCTCTCGCGGGTGCATCTGTGGCAATGTCGGAAGCTCGCATTCCAAAGCCAGGAGGTCCCCTCCCCTCCGCTCCCCTCCCCTGGAGCTTTCCAGGTCTGTGCACAACTCCTCTCTTGGCCCAGGGACCCTCGGTGGCCTCGACCCCTTTGGGTCTTCCTGTTTAGGGAAAGGGGCCTATAGGCAGAAAAAAATATAACGAGGGCCTTATTAGGCCTTTAGGTTAATCTTGGCTAGAAAGAGTTAAAGAGGGAGTGATTGAAAGGACCAGGGCAGATGCTAAACAGCGCCAGACAGAGCCCATGAGCTACATCAGGACAGGAGGGAGAGCTGATGGCAGACCACGGAAAAGCCAGGCACACAAGAGGAAGGCAGCCCCCTCCCCACCTCTGATAAAATACAAAGGAGACAAAAGGGGAGGCGGTTACTTTACTTAAACAAAACCCTTATGCTTACATTTTCAGTCTAGGGTCATTGCATTATTGCACTAGATATATACATTTCCTTAACACTAACTTTGAGTTGTCATTTAAATAGGCTTTTTAAAACCAACCCATAAATCTCAGAGATAAGCCCCTGGCAAGGGCAAATGGGCAAAAAAAAAAAAAAAGTCAGACAAAGCCCACCAAAAGAAAGCCGCATGTAGGGCTGGGGATTTAGCTCAGTGCTTCCACCGCCTGTCTCACAAGCTCAAGGCCTGAGTTTGATCCCTGGAGCCAAACAAACAAACAAACAAACAAAAAATAGAAAGAAAAGAAAAGCTCATGTAGGAAAGGGTGCCTGGTTTACAGACCTGTGGCCTCGACTCACCCAAAGACCCTCACCATGGCCAATCAGGTTGTGACAACTTCTAGGTCCTCACTAGGAGAAGGTATCCCCACACCTGCTAAACTGGGGACAAATGCCCAGGAGCATCCATCTTTCCAGAGCTCCCTGCCTCCTCCCTGGGGCAGCCTGTCTCTATCTGCTTTGTCCTCCTCACAAATAAAGCTACTTCCTTTCCATCCCTTTGATTCATTATTGGTCCTGCGTTTAAGATCCCGAGATGTGTCACTATGCAGACTCCCACGCAGGCAGAAAATCGTCTCATTTGCCTGCCAGTCTTGTGCTCCAGATGGGACTGTGACCTCAGTCTAGGGGATTGTGCACCTTCTGTGTTTTTACCGCTGGGTCTGGGCTTCTTGCCTCATGAGCCTTCTCTAGCAGAGAGGCTGCTGTCCCTACCCTGTCCCAATGCCGGACCGATCAGGCTGGGAAGGGGATGGCAGCAGCCCCAGGTGAGAGTTCCTTGGAGCCCCGCTCAGTTCCAAAGCCCAGCAGCTCCTCTGTTTCTTGTATTCTTCTGGTTGACTTCTACAGCCCTGAAATGGTGGTTTTATTCTTGATTTCAGTTTCCCAGTTATTTTGTACGTGTGCTAAACTCTGAACCATCATCAGATCTTTCGCTGCTCACCTTCAGACTGAGGACCCGCCAGCTGCCTTCGATTGTGAACGAATCTCTACCATTGAATTATGAATCCATCCACAGCTCTTCGTGAATTGTCTCCAGTTGCTTGTTGCTATTCTGGGCGGTCAGCAAAGGTAAGGGGTAAGTTGAGATGAAGGGTGAAGGAGGAGGGCGGAGGTGTTCTCTGCAAATGGCAGTGGCAGGTCACCCCGAGGTGGAGGTGTTGGGGAGCCGGCAGTATAGCGTCTCCCCATGCTGTCTCCTGATAGTCCCTTCTGGGGCTCTTACTAAACACAACCCCGTCCTCTGTGTCTCTTAATTGTTTTCTGTGTATTTTTGCCTTTCTTTCCCCACTCTGTGGAGTTCCTCCTCCACTAGAAGTACCGTTGTACACTTTGTTGATTCTATGTTTGTTCAATTGATTGTTTCTTTTTTCTTTTTTTCCCTTACCTTTTTCCAGGACCAGGGATTGAACTTGCACTTATGAGGCAGGCGAGATGCCACTGAGCCAAATCCCTGGCCCTTCAGTTTATTGAATGTTTTATTTCATTCTTGTGAACTTTCACTTCCAGGATTTCTAGTTGGTGTTTTCATACCTATACTTTTTATGTATTTTCCACTTCTTTTGCTTGGCAAGCTTGGGTTTTGAATTTTTAAAAATATTGTAAACACTTAGGGATTCTTAGTTACTTCTCTAGTAATTCATTGGTGTCACTGGGAGTGAGGTCGTATCCAGGTTGCTGCCTTTGTTGTCTCTTGTGGACCCAGTTTCTGCCATGCATGTGGGATTTCAGCTTGCAGGCTGCCAGTGAATAGGACTTTTTCCTTGCACCGTCTCCCTCTACCCTGTCTAATTTCTTTGGTTACCTCCACCAGCATCCTGGGACTCCTGGTCCAGGACTAGGTCTTGTATCTGTGGTTCTCACCCTCTGGCATCATCTGGAATCCAGCCGGTGAACTAGCAGGCAGCATAGCAGCATGGTGGGCCCTGCCTTGCAGTCTCTGCCATGTCCCCTGGCTTTCCAAGTGCATGGCTTTGATGCGACCAGTGGCCGAGGGCAGAGGCTGCAGCTTTTCCAGCCTCCCTGTGGTGAGTGAGCTCTTCTTGGGCTACCGATGTGGCCACCGAGTTTCTCCCTTGTCCTTGTTATTTTGCAGGAGCGCCTGGCTACCTAAACCACTTTTTAATCCTGAGCAGGTGGTGCTTTTTCAAGTCTTGAGAGATATCCTGTGTTTTAATGTTTTTTTTTTCTCTCTTTTCATACATCACTGTTACACGTTTAAGGAGGTTGGTATTTCTGAAGTATGAACTTACAAATGTCACGGAGGAACTAGAGTCAACTTTGCCATTGACTCTTTGGCTCTTGACTTGGCCACTGTGGCCTCAGTGTCATGCCACTGAGGGCCGGGCATTGGCTAGCCAGTCACTGAGGTGAACACCCAGTGGAAGAGTGTGTTCAGGGAAATGGTGGGAAATACAGTGGGGAAGGCAAACTCAGGGAGATCCTGGAGGGTCTGGAATGTGAGTGCCATCTCACTAGAGGTTTGGTCATGCGAAGCGCAGTGCCGTGGAGCAGCAGAGGAAAAGGGCAAGGGAGTCAGGACAGCGTCCTGGCACAGCCAGGCGGGAAGAGAGGGGCAAAGTAGCCGGTGACAAGGCCAGGAGTATTACAGCAGTAGGTCAAATGGGACCTGCTGTGTGGAGGAAAGCAGGGCAGTGGCTCGGGAAACAGGAAAGGGGTTTAGAGCCTGATTGGCTGGGAAGACTTCTGTGCTGTCTATGAACAGACATTGAGAAATCCGGAAGAAAGAAGCAGGACAGTGCCCAGGCCTCTGTGGACACAGTGGTCACTCCTCACTTCTAAACATGGGCCACGGCTGAGTGCAGCCTTCATCCTCACAGCGGCCTTTCCAAGTAGGCACTGTGGGGACACTTTTTTGGACGGATAAAGTTGAAACATAGAGGGATTGAGTCATTAATCCCAGGGTTAACACAAGCTAATACTTGGCAGAGCCAGAAGTTATAGCCAAACATTTTAAAAATAAAATTTTCCTATTACATATGTTTTAGATATATAAAAACCATTCAAAGCTAGTATAAGATCACAGACTTTTCCTCTGGTAACATCTTTGTGTCACCAGTGGAATATTTGTCACAGTTAAGGAACAAATGTCTTTTTTAGTTTTGCTTTTGTTTTCCTTTGACTTCTGGAGCCATAGTTTTCATCCCTACCTGTCTTTATTCCATCTGGCTTTCAGGTGACTGCCAGTTTGCTTTAAAGGGAGAGTCTTTCTCCTTCCTCTCCTTCTACCTCCCTCATGCTGCCAAGAGAGAAAAGGAGTCTGTCACCTTTCTTCACAAGTGAGATCAGTTTCACTTGCTGTATTGGTATGATGTAGAAAAGAAACAGATCAGCAGAAGCTTATGGAATGGGATATTATGTCTAGCTTATGTTGTAGCCAGAAATTCACCAATGCAACTAGAAGACCTACAATGCAACAGAAACATTTTTGGTAATTTTAAAATTCAACCAGTGCTGGCTCACCTTTTTTTTTTAAAACATTTAAGACATATAGATCTTTCCTAGTAATAAATCATGCCACTTAAAAGTATCTTGATATAATTACAATAACTTTTCCCCCTAAGAACCAGGACGAAACATTAATTAGAAATCAGGATGGCAAAGTATCATCAATCAGAGACTCCCTTATTTTCAAAGTAGTATAAGTGGAATGGCTTTTAACTTCAGGAACAAATTAAATCTTATGCTCTGAAAAATGTTGTCTGGTGAGTAAACAGAATAGAACCAGCAACAAAACAACTTTAAAAATTTGGTGGGGGGAGTTTGATTCAAGCATAGTCATTGTCTGATTTTGCTCCCTCCCAACAATTTTGATTTTATAATTTCATCAGTCATGTTGTGTACAAAATGTACCAGACTAAGTGCTGCTTCGCAGATTTCCCTGACCTTCGGAGCCCCAGAAACGCAGCTCTGTTGGGTCAGAACACGGAATGGGTCCTGTTCATGCGTCTCCCCAGTTACTCTGTGCATGTCAATCAGTTTGGAGGCTGCCAGTTCGTTTTTCTGAAGAAATCCTTCAGAATGTGGTCCACTGTCAATCTATTCATTAAACAATTTCTTTGATCTTTTCACAATGCTCAAGGATTCAAATCCTTATGGTTTTAACCCTCTTGCGAAGTAACCTCTTTTTTTTGACCTTCCCCCTCCTCCCTGCTCCTTTCAATTCCTGTCCCCCTCATATTTGCAACAGTTTTTTTTCCTTCTTCAATCCTTTTTTCCACCCTCTCCCCCATTCCCTTCTTACTTTCTCGTTGTTGAGGCACAATGCCCAACACCCACAAGTTAAAAGAGGAATGCTTATTTTGTCTCACAGTTTGTAGAGGTCTTAGTCCATAGTTAGCAGGCTCCAAGGCAGAGCAGCATGGCTGAGGGGCCTGGCAGCAGAGAAATAGCTCATGGAATGGCAGCAGGAAGCAGAGAGATCAAAAGAGGAGAGGGAGAGGACCTTCTAAGCCACACCTCCAGTGACGGCCTTCTCCACACCAGGCTTTACTTCCCAACATAACACCCAGATATAAACCCATCAGTGGACTAATTCAGTACACACCCATGAGCCAGTATCACACCTATGATCCAGTCACCTCTCCAAAGACCTACCTATGAATGCGTTAGGCCTTAGGGGGGATATCTAGATATAAGTTGTAATACTCTCTTTCTGTAGTACCGCCGTCCATTTGGAAAAGATCTCTCTACTTCCTACTTATGTGTGTGTGTTTCTCATATAAGAAAAACCATACCATATTTAAGCTTGTGTGTCTGGTTTATTTCACTTAATATTGTGCTCTCAAGGTGTATCCTTTTACTTAAGAAAGTCTCAAGCGTATCCTTCTTTATGACAGAGTAGTACTCCATTGTGTATAAATACCGCTTTGTCTTCCATTTGTCTTTTGATGGGCATACAACATTGTGCTGCTATCAACATGGGTGTGCATGTGTCCTTGTAATATGATGACTTTAACCCTTTCAGGAAGATACCTAGAAGGGGAATAGCAAGCTCAGATGGGATTTCTATTGTTAGTGTTTTGAGGACGCTCCATGCTGATTTCCACAGTGGCTATACTAGGTTACATTCCCGCCAACAAGGGAGAAGGGTTCCTTTTGCCCCACATCCTCACCAGCGCTTGTTCTTAGTTGATTTCTTGATGGTGGCCATTCTTTCTGGAGTAAGATGGAATCTCAGTGTTCATTGGATTCGAATCAAATTTCTGCTTTAATTAGTTAAAATAATTCTTTGTGCTAGCTTGCTTGGGTTTGATCTGCATATAAACAAAAACTAGTCTGTGTTTTTTGTGTCCTTATAGTTGATCAGTTACCATATTAAGCTCCGTATATACGTTTGTTGTAACCGTTTCCCAAACTTTTCAGACTTTTCCCATCATTTGATAGATGAGAAAAGCGAGGTTGGAAGAGGGGAAGGGGCTCACAAAGGACGCCTTGTCATGAAGGCTGAGCAGATGTGCAAAGAGGTTGCAGGGTCACCACAGGGTTGGGGGTGAACTCAGGTGCTGCCCAGCATCGTCTAGAAGCCAAAACCACCATGCAGATATCTTGTGACATTGACTTGGCCTTTGAAAAACATATGCAGGTACCATTGTGTCCTTAATAAGAAGCCTTGATCCCAACGGTGTTCACAAAGGGGCCTTCTGAAACCTTGCCTGGATCTGGGCTGTGTGACTCCAAATCAAGACCGTGACAGTAGAACAGTGTGTGTCTCGATTCTTTCTTCCATCACTTACCAGCAAAACTGGGTTCCACATCTGAAAAAGGGGGCCATGGAGCTGCTGCTGCTGGTCGTCTGCCAGCCATGGTCACCTGCCTCTCCCGCAGAAGTCCAGCCCTTTCCCTCATAGCCCAGTCAATGCCTGACTCCTGTTTCACCCAAGATAATCACAGTGGTCCCAGTTTTAACGCCTGGTGGGCCTGTGGTGGGCATGCGGCCTGGTTCTGGGTGACATGACAGAAGGGGTCAGCTGGAAGCTTTCTGGAAGATGTTCCTCCTGGAAGATCACTTCCGCTCACACCAGAGATCACTGACCTACAATGACACGTGTGTGACGCACGGCTCAGTGGTGAGGGCCACTTTCTAGGTGTTGCTGTTTCTGGTTGTGATGCCTGCATTTTCCATGGCTGCCCTGCTTTTGTCCTGACAGGGAATTCAGCTCAGGGAGAGGACCAGCACTCCGCTGCACTGTGCCAAGGCTGACCAACCTCCAAAGCCTCTTTTCTCTTTACAGCTGTCCACGTCCTTATTGTTTGGGAAACTTTGTCTTCTAAGCGCTGCTGAAAACTTCCTAGTAGAATGGTATCTGCCTCGGGGGCTCGTTGGAAAGTTGTGAAAAATTTTGCAAAGAATCCAATCATGCCTGCACTTAGTACAGACTCAATAGATGTTAGGTCTGAGCTACAATAATAAAGTGGTGCCTTTAGTTTTTCAGTACTCTAAATGTACTGTTCAGTTTCCTCTGTCATTACTTCTGCATTCTCTTTTTTATAGCTAAACGTTTATTGGTACATTTTTTTGGCATATCCAATGCAAGATTGGTGTGAATATATCAATTTTGGATCAGTATAGAATGACACAAGCCTGTGTTCCTAGAATTCTGGGAGGTTGACAAACACCTAAAGTCAAGTTTTAAGAAAGGAGCATTCTTTTCCTCCCCTCAGATTAAAATATATTTGACTCATTCTCAAGAAAAGTAAGCAGTGCTCCCATTCGGAAATAGAAAAGTTCTTACCTAGGGAAAGCAAGTTATCTTCTCCAAACCACTCGTTGGGTAAATATTGTAAGAAGTTTACTTTCAAAAGCTTTTTCCTCTAGATTACGGTGATGTTGAATCTTTTAGAGCTTTCTATGATGATGAACAGTTGGCGATACCACAGGTGCCATAGGCTTGCTGCCACTGCTCTAGAACATGAGATTATTTACATGCATTACCTGCTGTGAAGCAGAAATATCTGAGTATCAGAGGAAAGAAAATATACACTTGCTCAGGATACCTAAGGTGAACTCAAGAGGCTTCCCTTAGCAGAAATGGAAAGTTGCATTCTTCTTGGAAGAAGTCCTTGAAGACTTCAGAGCTAACGAGTTGGGGTGTGAACGAGGGTACCCTAAGATAAAAAGAACTCAAAACTGAACATATTTTGTCCCTAGTCCTATACAGTAACCAACGTGTTGGCGTAGCAGGAATAAATCCTGTAGCTTAAAAAAAAAAAAAAACCCTGCAAGTTGAAAATGGGGATCCCATAGCTTTCCAGCCCTGCTTAGATGAGGTCCCCATCCTAGGGTGTGTACATGGGTCAGGGCCGAGGGGTGGCTGCCCAGTGCCAAGCTCAGCCTTATGATGTGCCCACCCCTCGGGGCAGAGGACGGCTCTTGGAAACTGGAGCAGTCCACATCATTCAGTGCTTGTTTCCCAGCAAGGAACATAACTGATTATATAATAAAGAAGTTATGTCTCCTGGTACCCAAAGGACTGACCTCTGATGACAATGCCCCGCCAAGCCTGTGGCACAGGTGCCTTGCTTTTTTAAGACACGTAGTTGCTTTATCCCCAGAGCCTGGTCCTCCATGGTTCCAGCTGGCAGAGGCCTCCACCCTCTTTTGGATCCATTTGTAATCACACAAAGTTTCTCTGTGGGCTTTTAAGATACTAAATAAGTCGATCTGCTCTCATTTTCTTCTGCTGCCATGATTCTAGAGACCGTAGCTAATTGTAGAAGACCCAACCCAGGATGTGAGTTTCTTCTGGAGAAAAACCAGAGACAGAGCCCTCCTGTGAGGTCTCAAACGGATCCGCCTTCTCTCCATCAAGATGCTCTGAAAGTGTGGAATGCTGGACCTGGAACGGAAGTAAAGGCAGAGACGTTACAGGAACAGCTGTGGGTGCCCAGGATCGGAAAGGAACAGTGTAGCTCCCACCCCATCCCTGTGCCAAGGGCTGTAACCAGTGCACACCACATCCCCAAGGCTGGTTTGGCCCAGGCAGGGAGTGTGGGGAAGAGAACCTGGAGACAGGGTTTAGTTCCCTGGCCACGTCCCTGAGCCCATGGGGCTTCGCGCGGGGGAGGAACACGTTTTCTTGTTGTTTTCATTCCCATTTTGTTATGGATGATTCTGCCTATAAAGTAAGCTGGCCACAAGCTTGGCTGCCAGGTGCAGATTTCACAGAGGTTTCTAAGTGCTGTCCACTTCGATGCTCTCTTCGCACCACAGAATGCAAACTTTACCACCTGGAACCAGCCAGGGGATGCGCCACTCCGCAGCACTGCTGCCTAGGTCCCGGGTTCTCTCCCTGCTCTCTGGCCCTCACGTGCCCACATTACCAGTGCCGGGGACTCTGTCTGCACCTTCCTACAGAGAACCTTTGAAAAGGATCCATTCTCAGCTTCAGTTTGATTATTCTTGGTCCCTGTAACCAGACAGCACTTCTTTGAAAAACATCTCAAACTGTTTCTACCACTGTGAGAACCAGATCGGTTGTAGCACAGGCTTAGCACTGCTAACATGCAAATCCAAGCTTCAGAACACTCCTGATCCCAAGCCGTTTGCATTAGGGACGTTCAGCTTGTATGAGTCCCAGACGCCCAGGCTCGCGGGGCAGTCAGTGAACCTCAGCAGGCGACAGCAGTTGCTGCAGATCTAAATCCTTCTGTCAGTCCAGCATTGTCCTCATTCAGGGTTTAACATTTTTGCACATGTTATTGACTTTAGACAGTAAACTCCAGAGTGCTAAGACCATTTATTCAATCTAGAAGATTCAAGTATCGGGTATCTTAGTTGGAGTCTGATTTGGCCTTGATTAGGATGCCACCAGACTCAAAAAGGAAAATTAGTCTTTCTCTAGGACTTTATATATAATTTTTGAGAAAAAGAAACTTTCTTTTTGCGGGGAGATGTCAGCTTTTGAGATCCTCCTCCAATGGCCAAATAAAGAAAGCTATTAGAGATACAGGTACACTAGAACCAAGAGATGGATGAAGGAGACAGAGGAGAGAGAGGAGAGGAGAGAGGAGAGGAGAGGAGAGCAGACGGGGTAGGGGGAAGGGGGAAGGAGAAGAGAAGAACTTAACCCAGTTTGAACTGAGTTTTTGTCCCTGGTAACCAGAGTTCTCTCATATACTGTGACTCTGAAAATGTTTGCAGAAGTAGCTACAGATCACACAGAAATCAATTAATTGATAAGCTTGTCCCCTTGACTCCAAAATTAATGGTCTCTCTCATTCGTAATCTGGAACTTCCAGGAAGCTAAGGAAGCAGGGAAGCCTCCAGAAACAGAAATCGAGAGAGCAGCCACGTCCCTGGATTCTCCCAATGCCTGGAGCTGACTCCAGCGGTGCCCTGTCTGGTGCTCTTATTCCTTCTCCTGCTCCCACCTCAATCTCTCCCCTTGAAACTGGCTCCCTGGGGCCAAGAACCAGGGTCTAGGTCTTTTTAAAGTTCACTGTAGAAAACAAGATAAACTAATTATGTTAAAACTCTGGTTCTTCAAAGTAAAGGCATTAAACCAAATGGGCTGGAATCTCTAATAACCTTAATGAGAGGGGCCCTCACTTAAGGAATATTCCCTTCATCTTTTGGGGTACAAGGAACTTGGAACCCTGGCAAGCCCCAGAGATCTCTTTAAATACGGAACTACTCAAGAGACAGGAACACTGCAGTTGCCCCTGCCTTCCAGCAGGATTTTGTGGTCAGGAGAAAGCTTCTTTTCTGAACGGAGGTGGAGGGACTCCTTTTTTGTCAGCATAACTCACACCAGACCTGGAACAGGCTGGCCTGTAAATCTGAGGAACAGTTCTTGCTCCATTACCAAGTCTTAAAGAGGACAAAGACAGACTAGCACCGGGCTTGGGGTTTTCTCCCACACATCAGTTTCCACATAGAAATGTCGGTTCCACCACAGCTTTGTGTTCCCAAGCAGTGAAGTGGTACTGAGCAGAAACAAGACGTTAGGCAACAGATGAGACATAATTTACACAGCGTCCTCACCGTGGTTGTGTCATGCTCTCATTTAATGTTTTACTCCCCTCTAGTGGATTCTTCTATAGTACATGATACCTTAAGTACAGTATCGGACAGCAAGTTTTAAAATTAATTTTAAAATGTGTTTAATGCAGGCTCCTGTTTTACAGAGCTTCAGTACAAGTCTAAAATTTCAGGACAAAAACATAAAAAGCCTATTAGTTCACAGTTCTTGTTTTTCAGGTGAATGAGATAAAACCCAGGAAAGGAAATATCTCACCCAAGAAGAGAGGATTTTGGACAGCTCTCCTCAGCATTAATGGCAGTGTTGAGCACACAGACGTGTGAGTTTGCCACGGAGTCGGAAGCCTGCACCTTGTCCCTGAGATGCTTATCAAGTGAGGAGAAATTGGAAGTCAAGCTCAGCAGGAGGGGACGAGCTTGGCCAGGTCAGAAAAGCCAAGTGTTAACAAGCACACCCAGCAGTGAGCTCTGGTCTGCTTTCCTCCTCCTCCTCCTGTGGATGGGTCCAACATGTACTCAGGGTAACCTTAGCCTTGGAGACGTCCTTGGTCTACAGGATGAATCTTTGCTGTGTAATGTTTATCTCTGCTTTATTCTCCTAACATTTTCACTGTCACTTTCCAAATAATTAATATTTCCCTCCCACTCTCCTATATCTAGGCAACGCTTCACTATTTTGGAGTGAAGTTTTCATTTGTGATACAATACAAACATGATTTGTAAAAAAGTATTTCCTGATTGTAGGAGTAACTTTTGTTTTTTGTCGATGATGCAGTAAATTATATTTTAAAAACCCCTAAAATTTCCCACAACTGAGGCTGACTTCAGTAATGTCTGATTATGTTCCTACTACACTGTTCCTGGCATAGATGATAACTGTAAACACTGGATAAAGTAAAAAACAAAACAACAATAATGACACGAGGGCCATGAAGGTTGAACAGAATTAAGCAGATTCTCGAGAAAGGTTGGCATTTGAGAGGAAGGAGTGGCAAAATGTGGGTTTCCTGTGTTTTCACAGCATTTAGCCTGAAGGCAGACCACAGGTGGACAGGTGAGGTAGCTGAAATTGGGTGATTTGCTAAAGAATCAGAGAATAGAATTCCACTGGAAAATGAAGGGGAATCCTAGCAATGAGAAAGCTACAGAAAGGAATCCAAAACTTCTGTGGAAAAATGATGCTAACATCTCGTTGATCCCTGAACTCTCATTGAGTAGCTACACCTTAGCATCTTACTTAAGGGTAAAATAACTTGAGATTTGGGCTACCGCCCAAGAGACAAGAGTTTACAGTTTGAATATAACAAAGTTACTCACCTGCTAAACAAAACAAAACAAAATAAAACAAGACAAACATAGTACTCTTTTTTTAAGCAGGTTGTCACTAAGTAGTTCAGACTGACCTGGAACTCACTATGTAGCCCAGGCTGGTCTCGAACTCACATCGATCCTCTTGTCTCAGCCTCCCAAGTGCTGTGATTAAAGACATGCGCCACCACGCCAGCTTAGTACTTAGTACTTAGTAGTAAGAGTATGTAGTACTCTTTTGAAGAATGTAATAGAATTCAGTCTCCCACCTAATGTTCATGATGTGTAAGATATAATCTAAACTTATCACCATAACAGAAACCAAAAATATGACCTATTTTTAAGAAAAATTATCATCAGTATAGACAAAGCCTGAGATGATCAAGTTCTTGAAATTAGAAGGCAAAGATTTTAAAGTATCCATTTGAATTATATACAGTGATATAAAGGAAAACATACCTACAGTGAGTGAAAAGCAGGATATTTCAACAAAGAAGCAAACCCCAAAAAGAACCAAACAGAAAATTCTTGAACTGAAGATTAAATTATCTGATCATCAGTATAGACAAAGCCTGAGATGATCAAGTTCTTGAAATTAGAAGGCAAAGATTTTAAAGTATCCATTTGAATTATATACAGTGATATAAAGGAAAACATACCTACAGTGAGTGAAAAGCAGGATATTTCAACAAAGAAGCAAACCCCAAAAAGAACCAAACAGAAAATTCTTGAACTGAAGATTAAATTATCTGAGAATACTGAGTGCTGGGATTACAGGTGTGCGTCACCTCACTCGACAATTATCTGAAATATAAAATTCATTTGATCGGCTTAACAGAAGGTAGTGACAGAGGAAATGGCGTCATAGGACTTGAAAGGAAACCTATAGAATGAGCTTATAGGTACAGTGATCAGAAAGATGTAAAAAAAAAAATGCAGTCTCACACATCTCTGGTAAAATATCACGAGGCTTATGATACATACAGTGAAAACTCCAGAGGACAGAAGGAAAAGAGAACGGCACAAAAAGAAATATAGTTTAAGAAATAATGCCCAAAATCTCACCAATTTTTGTGTACATTATATATTTACAGTTTTAAAAGCTCAGCACATCCCAAGTCACACCACAAGCTTCTGAAAGCCAAAAATGAGAAAATGCAGAAAGTAGCTAGAAAAAAACCTACAAATTATGAGTAAGGGAATAACAATTTTGAGTGACAACTAACTGAATTCTCTTCAGAAACAGTGAGGCCAGGAGACAACTTTTAAAAGCTTCAAGAAAAACAAAACAAAAATATCATCAGTCTCAAATTCTATAGTTATAAAAATATTCTTCGATAAATAAAGGTAAATAGAGATATTTTCAGATAGAATAAAACTAAAAAGAATTCGGAGAACTCAGCAGATCTGCACTGGAAGAATCGCTAAAGGAAGCTCCGGATAAAAGAAATAAGAGCAGAAGGAAATGTGACTCAGGAAGAGAGGAAGGAGGGAGGAAGAGGAAGAGGGGGACACAAGGGGACAAGGAAGGGGGGAAGGAAAGGGGAAGGGGAGCAAAGTAAAGGGAGGGAGCGGAGGAAGGCAGAGATGGAGGGGGTGGGGAGCAAAGCACCTACCACGGCGTAGACGGAGCCCCGTCACAGAGGTGTACAGTGTGACGGTTACAGCAGGGAGGACGGAGCGAGCTCAGTGGGCTCACGCTTGTGAGAGTTCTGCTACACTTTACACGAAGCAGTAATGACAGGCTGGGCCACACCGCTTTAGGCGCTTGTCAGAACTGAGGAAATACATACTTCACACGGGTATAGTTTACTGTATTTAAATTTTACCTCAAAAGTTCTACAAACAGTATGGAGCTCTAGTTAATAATATGCCTGCAAAAATATTTAGAGGGAAATATACAGATGCGTGCTATTTCCTTTGGAAAAATAAAAAATGAAAGCTAGAGAGATGGACTGAGGATAGAGAGAGGATGGAGCAAGTTTAGTAAGATGTTGATGCAATCTTTTTGGTTGCTGCCAAGTTTTTAAACTTTGCTATATGTTATAAAATATAATAAAATGTTGTTTGAGGCTAAAACTCCATTTATAAAAATTTAATCTGCTCCTTTATTTTTATTGACATTTATAATTGGCCTTAAGACACATATGTCAAACTGGACTGTAAAAATAGACACAGATTTCACGAATGTTTTTAACACACAAACGCTCCTATTTTTTCATTTAGCAGTGTCACTTTTAGGTTTTGATTGATTAACTTCCAGTATTTTAAAATACTGATATATTATCTTTTTATCATGATGCTTTTATTATGAAAATATATATTTTTTATAAAACGTGAGCCTGAATGACTAAATTAAAATTAACCTATTATTTGAAAGATCCATTGTTTTTGACTTCTCACATAAATCACATAATAAAAAGTCACAGAGAAAGAATAAAAAATTAGCAAGGTATCTGCCTTCTCAGCATCACCAAACAAAATTAGAAGACAGTGGAGCAGTACTTTAAAAAAAAGTTTTTTTTTTCCCCTGTACTGGGGATTGAACTCAGGACCTTGTTCTTCCCAGGCAGGTGCAGTACCACTGAGCTACATCCCTGGCCCTACTTTAAAAATTTTGATAGAAAAATTTCAATTCATAATCCAATTCTCAGCTTGTCAATAAAATGAATAATTAAATATCTTTCTTTTTTTCTTTTTTTTTTTTTTGGTACTGGGGATCAAACTCAGGTTCTTGCACTTGCGAGGCAGGCCACCGAACTGCTGAGCTAAATCCCAGGCCTGAAATATCTTTTCTTTAAATGCTGTTTTTACCCCAGGAACATTCAGCCATCTGATCTTTGACAAAGGGACCAAAAAATACACTGGCGAAAAGGCAACCTCTTTAATACATAGTGCTGAGAAAATTGGCTTTGCACATGCAGAAGATTAAATCTCTCACCATGCACTAAACTAAAATCAAGCTAGATCAAAGATCTAAGTGTTAATACAGCAAAACTTAATCTCCTGGAAGATAAAATAAGTAAAACTCTTGAAGACATAGACATAGGCAAGGACTTTCTCAATAGAACAGCAATTAATATAACATTAAGAATCTACAAGTAGGATCATATCAAATTAAATTCTTCAAAGGAAACAACAATTGAGTGAAGAGACAGCCTACAGAATGGAAGAAAAATTTTTTCCCAGCTATTCCTCAGAAAGAGGACTAATATCTAGAATATATAAAGAATGCAAAAAATTAGACCTACCAAGTAAAAGACCCAGTCAAAACAATGGGTAACTGAAACAGACACTTAGAAGAAGAAGTACAGATGGCCAATAAATACATGACAAGATGTTCAGTATTTCTGGTCATTAGAGAAATGCAAATTAAAACAACACTGAGATTCCATCTTACTCCAGAAAGAACAGCTATTGTCAAGAAATCAAATAATAAAAGAATGCTGGCAAGGCTGCCGGGGAATAAACAAACTCTCCTGCACTGTTGGTGGGAGTCTAGACAGCTCTTCTTCTTCTTAAGAATGAGTGACAGCAATGGTGTTAGTATCTTCCCCATTCTCCAGAGATGAACCAAACCAATGTTGATGACAAAGATAAAGCAGATATGAGCATATAATGAAAACCAAATAATAGCAACGACTATGCCACCATTGCCACTAGGAAAGAATTCAGCAATAATAAAAACGTCAAAGATCACCTGGATATTGACGTAAGAATCAATAAGAGCCGTAATGGTGTCATCCTTAACAATGGAAAAGAGATCTGCACTAATAATATGGACATAAAGACAAAGTGAATATCGACATAAATGTCTCCTAACTGCAACAGTATACCAGCAATAGAAATAGAAAATAACTCAGCATGAGGCAGAGTCAAATAAGTATGTAAAACTTAATAAAGCTTAATAGATATACTGATAAAAAGGGAGGGAGTGGAAAAGGGTAAAATGAAATAAGTCAATTTGAAAAACAAAGGAAGATGAGCAGATGAAAGTGAAAAAGAGTATCCAACTAAAGAGTAAAAGAAAATAGGATTAGATAAAATTAACAGAAAAGAACCAATGAGAAAATATAGGAAAAAGAAAAAAAAGAGCAAAAGAAGGAAAAATGAAAAAATCCAATCTCCCTAAATAAACAAAGAAGAAGAAAAATGAATTTAAAAACTTCTTCCATTTGTTTGAATGTTTTGAATGAGTGGTTTCTTTTCAGGGCCTGCAGTATTGGGATCCACCAGAAATAGCAGAGGAATAGTGAATCACTGCTAAGACCTATTTTGTTTTCACACTCACACTTTTGAGTATGAATGCTGAGTTCTTTCCCTCTTCCCTGCTGGGCACAGTGGTCAGTCTGCCTTGGGCTATCTTCACTTCCAGTTTCAGTGTCCCCCTGTGTGTCCCAACACACTATTTTCTTCACCTAGCTTTTTAGCCTGCTGGTTTGTCCGGTTTCTCCCTCTCCAGAGGCCCCTCTGCCCATACACCCTAGGCTGTGGCAACTGTCCAAGCTGGGGCCTATCCCTGATCATTTTGGCAGATGGGGGAAGTAAACAGATCATTGAGCTCCAAGCTGGATGCAGGTAGTGTGTGTGTGTGTGTGTGTGTGTGTGTGTGTGTGTGTGTGATATCTAGGATTAATACCAGCACTTTCAGACCTACCCTCCTCTGAAAATCACATGTAACCAGCTCAGCTTCTCATCACAAAGTGTGAGGCCTTCATTTTCTTCCCAGCCTGAACTTCTCAGGGGTCTGTGTCTAGCCTGTGCCCTCTCTCCAGCTGTCTCTTGTGGCTGTCTCCCACCCAATCACTTTGGTAGGATGACTCCAGAAACCCTGGCATAGACTTGTTTTGTAGTTCAGTCTTCAACAGTCCCTTCCCAAATGGCTCCTGATTAAACAAATATGGTGAGTGCTGCAGTGAATTTCTTCCACAACTCTAGTCTGCCATGCTGAAGGAGTCACTTTCAGAAAAAGAAAAAATCCCATGCTGTTTTTGCAGTTTATAATAACGATAGGCTTTTCTTGGGCTAGCACAGCTGGCCCCATCTGCTATTTCTCCCTGGGGCAACCTTCCATCTATAGGCTCACCTTGTGTTTGAAGGTCAGGTCCCCTCCCTGGGAGCTGGGGTTACCTTTCTAGCCTGCTTCCTTCTTTTCCCTGTGGTGTCTTTGGTTTCTCCAGTTTCTTTGTAATTTCTAATTTTCTTGTCAGCTCTGTCTTAATTCTCAGAGTTTTACTTCCTTTTACCTAAGTTGTTTCTCAAGTGGCTCGAGTCTAGATCTTGGAGCGATTGCAATATGCTGCTGATTTTATGTCACCATGTTCCCTTCCCAAACTGAGCATTCCTTACCTGAAATTTGGGGAATTAATAGCTACAGATACTGGGTATTTTCAGATTTTGAAGTATTTGCTTATACTTAGTGAGCTGTCTCAGGCATGTGAATTAAGAAGTCTGATTGATGAAGAAATCCATGTTGTTTTCTACACCTTACGTGTATATCCTGAAGATAATCTTGTACACTCTTGTTCATGCCCCTTCATTTTGAATGCAGCCCATTGCATGAGGTCAGGTGTGGGATTTTCCATTGTGGTGTACATTTGATGCTCAGAAAGTTTCAGATTTTAGACCATTCTGGACTTAGCATTTTCAATTAGGGAGGTTCAACTGTATGTAAATGCAATGTTGAGAAAGGTTGGATAAGCTGGTGTATGCCTACAATCCTGACACTCTTGGAGGCCAAGACAGGTAGATCTCAAGTTCAAGCCCAACTCGAGCAACTTAGTAATTTAGCAAGACCCTGTCTCAAAATTTAAAAATTTTAAAAGGCCCAAGGATGTAGCTCAGTATAAAGGCCCTGTGTCTAATCCCCAGTAATGGGGAAAAAAAGGTTAAGGAAATTTAAAAATGGCACTATTTTCTCCAGAGACAACAAAAAGTTTCACATAGAAATAGTATCACTGTATTCTGTAGGGTCATCTCTGAGCAAAATGTATTTTATCATAATAATGTAAAAACATTGTGCTCCTTTAAGCAGAAGCTAGTTCTCTTTCATTTTGAGTTATATTAAAGTTATCAAGTAATAAAAGTATATCTATAAAGGAGAGGAAGGAAGGTATATGGGAGCAAGATCCTTATTTTTTATAGTTGGGGTACATGTAAAAATCTAAAAAATGAAAAGTTTAAGTAAAATCAGTATAAAGATATTAGTAGAATCTTTAGAACTACAGGCACTGAAAGTTTCTGGGGGCAGCAGGCAAGACATTGTTGATCTGGGTGGTAAGAGCTGGGAATAAGAAAGGGCAAGGGTTGGAGATTTAGCTCAATGGTACTGTGCCTGCCTCACAAGTGCAAGGTCCTGAGTTCGATCCCGGTACTGGGAAAAAGAAAAAGGATAGGGCAGGACTTTTTATTACATGTTTGTTTTGTTTGTTTGTTTTTGTTTTTGTTTTTGTTTTGAGACAGAGTCTCACTATGTAGTTGAGTCTGACCTGGAACTCACTATGTAGCCCAGGCTGGTCTCCAACTCACAGTGATCCTCCTGCCTCAGCCTCCCAAGTTCTGGGATTACAGGCGTGCGCCACCATGCCCGGCTCATTACATATGTTTTTCATTATGACTAAAACTCTTAATGGGAGGTGTGAATGCTTTTGCTAGTCTGAGCTGAGATACCTCCAAGTCATAAGAATGTCTAAGTGGGATTTAGAAAGCCTGATCACACCCTCCTATAACTCCACACCATGGCCTTGTGTGATCACACACGACTTTCAGAAGCTCTGTCACCGACCCAGCACCTGGGTTCTGGGCAAGAGTTCTTACATTGTCTCCAGCCCCTCCCATGATGCTCTCTGCAGATGCTGAGGTAACGAGCAGTTATCTCAGAAGCACAGCTGCTTTGCACCATGAGAGCAGGACTGGTCTGCAGGCTGCTCAGCAGCATGGCTGGGAGGGGCCACACAGTCCGCCATGG